ATTTGAAATATATTTACCGGATTTTAAAAAATTATTTTTCCATTACTTAGCGATGTTTAAAAGATAAACAAAGATATTTCTTTTATTTTTATACATTATAATTTAAGATTAATCACATAATATACAGCAATTTTATATTTTATAATTAAAAATGACAAAAAAGAACTTATAATAATTATTGGATTTTCATTGACACCTTCTATTTGGTGACATATATTTTTTTAATAGAGTGATTATTAATGAGATCAAAAAACATAAAAATCATAGTTACCAATGTCATATGTCGCAAAAAATGAAACAACGACTGTATCGGAATTATGTTTCTTTCACCATGTATCGTATTATATAACATTTTGTCACCACTTGCGTATTAAAATTTTTTTTGAGTTTTAAATATATTTTCGAAATCTATGTGAGAAGTCATTATTGTAGAACCGAAATTCTACAAAAAAACTTAAGTAACTCGAAAAAAATAATGTTACCAAAAAAATCACCCAGATCAGATAAAAGGCCCTCAGCCATTAGAAACATTTAAAAAAATGCCCGAGACCGAAATTACATAGGTTCAGAATATCACATGTCACAAAATTTTTTTTTAGCAAATTAGATAAAGAATTAAAAACCATATTCAAAACTTCAAACTGCAATTTTTTATCTCAATTCTCCGATTTTTAATAGCCGAAATAGTAAAATTAATTATCATTAAAAAACCGCTCCGCAGTATAAACGGTGTCCTCCAGGGGGAAGGTGAGGTAGCACTTGAGCATTGTTCCATAAAAGTGTAGGAGATGACCATGAAAAAAAAAAGCTTTCTGAAGAAGTAAAGGTATTTCATTAACTCCACAGAAGAGAAAATTGCAGCTGCTGAGGAACACGTTCTATATAAATTCTATAAAGTTTTAATACTAATGATCATAGATACTTTGTTCATAATTATGCAACTTTTGCTCCTACACATGCAATTTGGTAACATTACTGTCCAAAGCATAGAGAATAATAACAAGCGATGAATAAGTATAAAATCACCTAGATCTAATGATGGGAAATAATAAATTATCGTATAGAAGCAGTGTACACGCGGCCAGCTGGCCGCGCGACCTGTGGCTTCTACAGAATATAAAGGGTGATCGTACACTAGCAGTCGACTGTACAGTCTCTACCAGGACGGAAGGTTCCACCGAGCATAATCCGATCTTCTTGGACCTAGGAGAGAAGGATGATGTGGACACTGGGACCTTCGTCAAAAGGAGGACAGACTGGGAATTGTTCCGTGCAGCACTGCAAAGGAACATTGCACATATTCCCAGGATTGAATCCGAGGAAGATGTGGAGAGGGCCATCACCTCCCTGGAAAACCAGATCCAGGAAGCGATGGAGGAAAGCACTACAGAGACAGAGACCAGAAGGGCACCAACGCCGATGGCAAACCTCACGGAGGACCTCAGGCAGCTGATTCGGGACAGACGAAGGACGAAGAAAAGGGCCCAAAGGACTAGACTCCCTGAGGACAGGCACGCGTATAACACGCTGAACAGGAGAGTCAAAGCTGCCCTCCAGGAACACCGTCAAGAAGGATGGCAGCGTCACCTGGAATCACTGGACCCACAGGACAGGAGCATCTGGAACACCCAGCGTGCTCTGCGGAACAGGCCGAAACCAATGTCCCCAATCCACGGAGAGAATGGGATTGTCTACACTTGCCAGGAAAAAGCCGAAGCATTCGCGGACAGCTTGGAACTGCAGTGTAGGGAAAACCAACTCGATGATGAGGACGAGGACTGGGTTGATGACGTGGAACGCAGAGTGCGTCGGATGCTCCGCCTGCCAGACGATGATCACATCCGTCCGACCACTCCAGAGGAGGTCAAGGAGATTCTAAGGAGCTTAAAGCCGAGGAAAGCTCCTGGATGTGACAAGATCGGAAACATCGCCCTCAAGAAGCTACCCAGCAAAGGGGTGGCAGCCCTGGTGAATATCATCAACGGGATCTTGAGGCTCAGATACTTTCCGGACAGGTGGAAGAAGGCCGACGTCATAGTCATCCCGAAGCCAGGTAAGGAACTACTCTTTCCCTCCTCTTACAGGCCCATCAGCCTACTCTCAGCTGTGAGCAAGGTAGCCGAGCGCGTCATCTTGAGAAGAATAGAAGAGGAAACCGAAGAGCTCCAAATCATCCCGGATGAACAGTTCGCGTACAGGACAGGACATAGTACGGAACTCCAAGTTCTCAGGATCACCGAAGAAGTCACCAAAGGTTTCAACCAAAGACAGGTCACGGCGGCACTACTCCTGGACGTTGCGAAGGCTTTCGACAGGGTCTGGCACGATGGTCTACTAGCTAAAATGATGAGTATGGGTTATCCCATTGCACTCGTCAAACTAGTTAGATCATACCTGCACGGGAGACAGATGCGAGTGAAGATCAGGGACTGTGTGTCCACGTATCGACCGATGGAAGCCGGAGTCCCCCAAGGCTCTGTGCTGTCACCCCATCTGTTCGCTGTCTTCACCTCTGATCTCCCAAGGGCCGAAGGCACCGCAATGGCACTCTACGCGGACGACACGGCCGTCACGGCCAGATCCTGGAGAGCGGGAACAGCCACCAGAAGACTCCAAGAGGCAGCCTCTCTTCTGGAAGAATGGTGTATCAAGTGGAAAGTCGCAGTCAACGCGGAGAAAAGCCAGACGATTCTCTTCAGGAAAGGACGCAAGGAAACCCCCACAGGACACGTCTCCATGTTCGGCGAGGACATCCAATGGCACGATTCCGTCAAGTACCTTGGCGTAATCATGGATAAAGGCCTGACATGGAGACAGAACACCGAAGCCATCGTGGTAAAGGCCAAGCGGACGAGAGCTCTCATCTACCCGATGGTAGGGAACCAGAGCAGGCTCAGTCTGAGGAACAAGCTTCTGCTAGTCAAAGCACTCATCAGACCACAGCTGACCTACGCCTCCGTAGCATGGGGATACCAAGCGAAGACCTATCTGAAGAAGATCCAAGCCGTGGAAAACGTGGCCATCAGGACAGCGGTGGGCGCACCATGGTACGTTAGAAACGCTGACATCTTCAGGGACCTGGAGTACACACCAGTCACCGAAATCATCCGGGATAGAGCGAAGAAACTGTACACCTTAGCTGAGGAGCACAGGAACCCGCTGATCAGGGAGGCCACCTCCTATGATCCGGCCGACGCACCGAGGCACAAGAGGCCGAAGGTACAGTTACTGGATAACGGGTAAGTATAACTAATCCTTTCCTTACAGATGGACCAAACCCACTGAAAAGACATGACACGACCAACCACCCTCCCACAAACCTTGCGGGCGCCGGTCAGTAAACCTACCAGTGCCCGTTGTCCCCCTGGCTCCGTGAAGGACGAAAGTGCTAAGAAAGCACTTAGGTCTTCACCTCCTAGAGCTACACAGTTCATCCTCACCTTGTCCGATGATCCAGATGACAATGTGTCAATTGACACTTTGTGTACTGGCAGTCAATCCCAAGTCACAGAATATCCACACAGTCCCTGACAGACAGATGACTACCCCCGGGGGTGACAAGCTGGCGAAGAAAGAAGACGAAGACAGAAGAGCGCCAGAAGAGGCCCTAGCCAGCAGGGTTCATCAGCCAGGACCCAGGGAGGTTGACCGAAATCTTCGGCACCGCTCACATTTGTGAGTGGGGCCGTTCGTAAAGTAAGTTAACCCGCCCTGCACGAGGCCGGTCCAGGTCTACAGCGATGACTAGGGTAAAAAGGCAATAGTCCTGCCTGGCCCTAGCATCCGAGACCGTCATCATGCCAAATGGATATTGGCGACTGTACAGCGTCGTACACAGCGACCAGTATAGTGCAATTCGTACAGGAACATTGTCACGCGTTAAAATTTCGAAGTTCAAGTGCAGCGTGCTTTACCCTTTTATTCTTAATGACTGTACACACTTGCTGGCAGCTCTGGGCTGTTCACATTCTCGGTCGTGTATACCCTAACCGCGACAGCCATGGCCTTCGCGATCTGTACGCTTGGTGCGCTGGCACTCTTAAATTTAATTTCTTGTACTGCAAAGCTGGATGCAAAAAGAATTCGGTGGTGCTTTGAGCTGAAGAGGCGAAACGTAGGCAGACAGGTTCGAGAACCGATAGAGAGTGGAGCTGTGTGGTTAAAATTTCGTTTAAGCTTGGTAACGTTTGTGTTAAAATATGTTGGAAAGGCTATTTGTGGAAGTAGCTGAGCTTGCTGGAGTTTCTTGAGACCCAGGCCGTATATTCGTCACAGGAGCAACAAGTAGGACTATTTAATTATATTGTCTTCTCGAAGAAAAATATGAAAATGCAGGAATTTTCAATAATATTGTTTATTTACCTAATAATGAATTTATGCGTAACTTTATGGACGCACTGTATAGTACGTATACAAAGCCAATATTGTATATTACTACTCATACTTGATAATACAGCCAAAACATGTCTATGGATTACCAATATCAAACTGTATCTATAATTTGCTGAGGAAGGTTTGCTCATTATTTTCTTGCGGTGACTGAGTGTTTTTTAGTTTTTTTCACATAATCCCATATGCGCTTAAACAGATCATGTCTGGCAAGTTTGATGGCTAATGTAATATATTAATAGCATCATCTTCAAAGGCTTGTTGCGATGTTGCTTGGCACTGGCATATTTTTCCCATACGGGATTGATAATCGGCTTAATAATTTTTTGAATACAATCAAAACATTATTAGGCCAAATAATTGGACGAACTCAGGTTCAACGTAATTCCATCCCAGAACATTTCGGTACCTCCTTCATAGGGAACAACATCGACTACTGTATTTTTGTTCTTTATTTATTTATTTTTTCAATAAAACACCATAGGTAATATAACCCCTCACCCCTCTATCTCTGAAGGTACCACAAGGTACATTGCGTGGGATTTAGAGACAATGGACACACACTCAATGCTCGAGTATGCTAGGATTAATTTCTGGTTTAGAAGAAATCTTAGCTCCTCGACCGGGGATCGAACACGGGACTCCAGTCTGAGAGGGAAGTGTTCTTACCACTTAACTACGAAGCCACATTCATATACATATACATATATTAATTTCTGATTTATAAATTTTAATACAAAATGGCGATCACTTGATTTTATAATGATTAAACTTTACAATAACAGACAGATATTTTAACAAAACATTATATTATTTTCTTTCAGTTTAATGTGAGTCGAAGTAATGTGGAAGATTTTCCAGTATAACTCACTCAGTTGTTCGTTTATACTAATTCCGCTAACTCAAACATTGACTGACAAAAAAATATATGAATAAAACACTCTAACTAGTCCCGTATAAACTACGAACAAACTATCAATTTACTTTCATATTTATTAACTCCCATGTAAAATTCAAGGAAAATTCTACAAGTCTCAAGGTCGCTGCTCGTTCTAATTACACTGTTTGAACAGCAAATCTAGTGCCGGTAACTGCTTTTTGCACTCCAGTTTATATTTCAAGTTATCGTTTCCTAGGTAACTGAAGTAAATTAAACTAGTTATAAAGTAATTCTACATTTGGTACGTTATTATATTGTTTTTTGTTTAACTATTCCTAATATATTCCATTCCATATATCACTCCATAAGCTACGCTGCTTTGATGAGAAACAGTAATTCCGAAACACCGGTTTCCGTAAATATGTCTCCTCTTCCACAAACTGAAAGGAAAAAATCAATGAGCCAAAGAGGAAGAAACCACTCTATAAAAATATTCAAGAATTTTGTGTTCTATTTTGTTTGTTTTCTTTTTTTGAAAATAGGATACATCTTTTTTCTGACTCATCGGAAAATTTGCATTTGTGTCGAGTAAATGTTATAAAATTCTACACTAACACTAGAATTTATATTATATACTTAGACCTGCTCATTTGTGAAATAGGTACCGATTGTGAACTATGAAGTAGATAATACAGTCTGGATAAACTGATGATGTAACAGTAATTATTTCACAGATAGTGTTGAATTCTTCATTTCGTGAGAACAATTTTAGTAAGTTTATTTTATGTTGACTTGTTTGTTGTTATTAATCCAAAAGAGTAAATGTACTCTTTAAAGAGTATGGTTGGTAACCCTACTTATCCACTATGTCGAAAGCTTTATACTAGTCGAATTATTTTATAATATATCTGATAATAAAGAAAATGTATACAAAATTCAAAATCATTTCACAAGGAGACCCACTTCATTGTCGTTTAACTTTGGAATCCCACAACAAATTATATATTTATATTTAACAAACTGTCCCTGAATGAACCTTCATCAAAAAAACAACTTAATAACTTAAACACACACACAGACTTGGATCACAAGCTCATTACGTTCACCATATTTATGTGTAAAAAAAAGGATATATGAATTAAGTTTTCGGCACAACGAACATATTTACAACATGGACCAGACTTATACTTTAAATATATGCTTAGGATAGTAGGTTTTCCATAATCAGAAGTCTAATATAAATATTTGCATACATGGTCGAGTTGATTTTTATTTAAATGTACTTCGTGTGTAAAAATAAATCATCTAAAAGGAATCGCAGAAAAGCATAAATTTCGCTGCGATAATAAAATGTTTTATTTAACCCAAATAGCAAACAAGCTATTTTATTCTATTTTCAACATAAAGGTAAATTTTATTTAGTGCACAAATGCAAATTTTAAAATACAAAGATTAAGCAGTATTTTTAAAATGTCATCTTCTTATCAGACTTCACTTTTATTAATAACACGATATACTGAGTATGCTACCATATTTTTAACTTACCTATAATACGAAATCAGAAAATTATATTATTCTCTTGATTCTTGAATCTAAAAACCAGTGAATGTTAAAGAAACTGATTAAAACTATATATAGGCACTTGAGCCAGGCAGTGACGTCACAGCATGGCACCAACTTCATGATGATTGATAATGCGATCTGCATTACCGACATGGTGTTGATATCACACCATTAGGATCTGCATCACTGAATCAGAGCTCAAATGGTAAATTCAAAAACCGTAAACAGGTAGCTTCTGCTCTGAGTCGGTGATGCAGATTCCTACTTGTGTGAATTTGGCACTATATAGGTAATTAGGTAATGCAGATCGGATACTTATCATCCACCATGAAATGAGGGCTACCGCGCTGAATTCACCACGAGAGGCGTTAGTGTAGGGTACTGTCTATGTCACTGAACATTAATGTTTACTATGGTTTTTTAACGATAGTTTTTAGTAATTTTTATAAAAATTATCTGAAAAACATTTAACACACTGATGGCAGAAGAGGAAAGTAGTAATTTACTTGCTCAATAGGGAAATTATTGTACCTATCAGAGGTGTCTTATGCCATTAAAGTTAGGCTATATCAAGAATGAGCATAATGAAAACAACGAATGTGTGTGATTATTACTTACGATTTTTTGTAGGAGACTCCTTTAGTAACGCATAATCGTCAGGATTAAAATGTTTCTTACAAACACACGAATGTTTCGAAGGAGTAAAATTATCTCTATCAACTACTGTTTTAGGCGAGTTTTATCTCTCGGAAGCATATGTCCGTCTTTTGTTTCCTTATAAAATGGAACTGCACAATACTGAGACAATTAACAAGATTTTTTATTTACTGGTGTACGAAATAATTATAATAAAATCCTATGAACATTTTACGCGCCTAACAATAACTTTTGATACGACCTTACTCAACCAGTGGCGCCAACTGGTGAGCCTGAAAACGTTAGCCCTCATTGGTACCAAACTTCTGCTCTGAGTCGGTAATGCAGATCCCTACTGTTGACAAGGTTGCACCATATTGGTAATGCAGATCACATACTTATCAACCACCATAAATTTGCCGCTAAACCGTAACGCGAAAAGATCCAGACTTATCTCTTGATGGTGTGGAGCTGTTGTGTAAAGTTTGCGAAGTTAGACTTTCATATACTCATAAATCTATTGCGACAAAACATGTGGTATCGGAAAAACATCAAATGTTGATGGACGAAAAGAAACAAAAGCAGTTCAAATCGGACATCGTTAAGTGTAGGGGGGTATGAGGAAATATAGCTGTCTAGCGCAACTACACTAAGAAACCAGTGTTTGGCCAAAGTAGCTGAAAATGTTCTCTACAATATTCGCTCCGAACTGGAGGACAAATATATTTGGGTTAGTGTTGATGAGACAGCTCATCTGGAGCTTATGTGGAGCGAAAATGCCAACGTATTGGTGCGAACACTGAAGGAATTATATGCTAAGAGGCGATATTCGGTAACTTCAAAAGAGTTGAAATCAGCAAATGCTTGTGTCCACTCTTGTAATTAATAGTTTAAAACTATTATAAGGGGACGGTTACGAGGAAAATAAAGACAAATTTCTATTATCTATTACGGACGCACACAGTGATAAAAATCGCCAATTTATCTGGACAAAAATCCATTTTCGAGGTAGTAGTAAATCTGTGCTATGTTTACTTTAAAGCCATGGATTTATAAGCAAGAGGGATATAGCATTACTGCCATTTTCTAGACATTATTGCGAGGTAACTTATCTGCTATCGATTCAGAAAAAGTGGGGTTATTTCTATCAAAGCTCCTCCAATGCTATGGGCGTAGACAATAATAGGTGGATTGAAGTTTTAATTTAAAAATAATAATTCTTTTATAAAGTCTATAAAATAAGTGTTTAACAACTTTAGCTGCAGTTTGTATGCTTATATTTAACCATTTTCAGAAAAGTCCTTACCTAGACAAAGTATCTACGAAATATTATTATTTGCTATTTTATGTGCCAAATTACAAAAAATAATTTAATGTAAAAACAAAATGTACCTATCGTTTATATTCACTTTTCAAAAAATAAAAATACGTTTCAACCTAGACGGGACCTTTTAGAGTAAATTGTGACTAAACAAACTTCATGTACGTGTAAATATCATGGACGTAATATACATCATATACATCCATGGCAAAAACAAAATAAAAATCTCTCCTGAAATTCTTCAACTGTAATGATTTCTCATTTACAAAGCTATTCAGGTGCTAAGTTTACTTGGCTAATACCAAAATTAACTGGATAATTCTTGGTGTGCTTGACTGCAGCACTTACAAGTTTCCGTGGAATTAACACATTTGTCACATAAATAATTTTTTAGTTTTTCTTTATCTAATTCTAAATACTGTGCAAGTATATTTAAAAAAAATAAATGAGGGGTAATAAAGCAATAATTGAATTTGAAATAATTTAAGCTATGTATTTTTTTAAATTAATTTATTAAAATCAAACTACAGGAAATATAGATTTTTGAACAAAACAGTCTTAGTTCAGTTATTTCCGACCCTAGTCGTACTTATGTCCAACATTTTAGAACTTTCATAATTAATTCTAATTTTAAAATAGAGCTTAATTAATAATAATTTTACAAACTGTATGCATGATTTTGTTAAATATCATTTACAAAACCAAATTATTGATATTTGGATAAAAAAGCATTGGTTAATTTAGTTCTCACCCTAATCGAACTTATGTCATGTCCAACATTTTGAAACATTCAAAACTAAGTCTAATTTTAAAATAGAGCTTTAGTATTAATTTTACAAATTGATTTGAATGATGTTCTAATATATCATTACATAACAAAATTATTAATTTTTGAACAAAACAGTTTCGGTTAATTTACTTCTCATCCTAGTCGTACTTTTGTCCAACATCTTAGAACATTCATAATTAATTCTAATTTTGAAGTAGGACTGAGGTGTTAATTTTACAAATTGCATTTCACGGTTTTCTGAAATATCATTTCTATAACAAAATTATTGATTTTTGAACAAAACTAAATATCGAAGTATGAATACTCTTATAGCTTTTCTTTTAATACCTTCAGAAGAGAGAGAGAGAGAACTCTTGTCCTCAGCCTTCGACCAGTTTCTCGAAGAGTTTTCAGTTTTCTCTTTTGCGATTGAAGTTTGACTCTCATTGCTTTAAAATGTCTTTTGACTTTATTCGGTGATGACAAATTATCAGTGTTAAAATTGCAAAAATCCTAT